TTTAATACTGTTTAATCCTGCCTTGTATGAAAATGTATATAGCAGGGGTGGACAAGGCCGAGGCCGAAAATAGCCACATCTAAGTTCTAAATGCTACAAAGAGCCACAAAAAAAAGAACAAGAAAAACAAAAATTGTATTTTTAATTAAAATTATTATTAAATAGAAATGAAAAACATTAATCTTATTATTATTCTATTGTACGTAAGATAGATATAAAAGAAAATTCAAAAGATCCCTTTGGCGAGATTTTCAAAATCTGGTTTTAGGTCAGTTAAAGCCGTTCGTAACAATTCTGTTAAATGTTGGATAGTCAATAGGTACGTTCGTTTAAAATTTCCTGTAAAAAATGTCCAACAGCGAAATTCCGGCGAAATATCATCTGTTCTCTCACAAGAGAAAAATGTACAAAATAATACGCGAACAGAAAATTTGCAGATACTTGCAAGTTAGACGAACAGCTGATAGAAATTTTGTTTTAAGATTAACATGTCTATTATGCACGTTACCGAAGATTTTGTGACCGGAAAATTTGATTACCAAAAAATGTTACCACTTCTTGCCTCCGCGATTCTAGGTACGTTGGTAATGCAGTGAAAATATTCAGCAACTCAGCTATGAAGATTTGTGGAAATTCCTGTATTGCATATTTCACGGGGCAATATTTTGTTACCAGCTTATGAAATGGTAACCAAATTTACCGGTTACAAGAGAGCACAGAATGCGAAAAAGGTTTAAAAATTGACAGACAGGTTAATTACCGGTTATAAAATTTATGTTACCAGCGCAGAATAATCTACGTCAGCGAGGCGTATACGGAATGGGTATTTTTTTTTAATTTTAACACAAAATTTACTTTTTATTTTGTTGTTTTAAATAAATGTGGTTATAGTTGATTAATAAAACTATGTCTAAGTATATTTTAGCTCACAGGTTATCTTTTAAGTACATAAGCCTCTACGGCGTATGTTAAGGCTTTACGTTACTCCCAAATAGATTAGGCTTCTGGGGTTAAGAAAGCTTTAGTTTGAAAGTGTGATATTAAATGCTTTTCACCATAAGCGGCGCCAATTTACAATGATTATTGCGTTTCAGATTAAGAATAATACCAGATATTGTGAAAGGTTGGACTATACCTTAAAGATGACGGTTTTCTCATGGCCCCACTGCACGAAGCTTAGAGTAGAGTAATGTCTTTTAAGAACTTTAAAATTATCCTGGGTTGTCAGGTGTCTAGCAATACAAGATTAATTGTTGTCTTTCACGAAGTTCTTTAAATAAATTTTGAGCTAAGTACTCACCCGTATTTCGGGGGTTACTACTAGTTTTAATAAATTGTTAGTTAAATTTCCTATAAAATTTACCTTCTGGTTTATGCATTTTAAGAATACATCGAAAATTTGTTTTAGAGGATCAATGTGAAATAATTGCAGAAACGATTAACCGGTTTGCTGAGCAACCGAGACGTCTGCTTTTTAAATAATTTTTGTAAAACAAATCGGCAAGTACATATCGTCCCCCGCATTCCAGAAACATGAATGTCTAAAGATGAAAATTTTGGGAGATTATTTTTTTTAAACCGCTGCATTTGCCCCGCTAGTGAAACGGACCCCAGAATTCCCCTGTTAACGTAGGTATGTACATTGGGGTGGCCCTAGGATTGTTCTATATCGAAAAAAGTATACCCCTATTTTTTATTTTGAAATCAAAAAATATTTAGAGGTCGCTCAAAGCGCTCACAGTTTTCCAGTTTTTGTGTACCTATAAATTATAGTTGCGCTGTAAAAATGTTTAAATAAACAAATGTTAAACAAACAGATATTGTGAAAGGTTGGACTATACCTTAAAGATGACGGTTTTCTCATGGCCCCACTGCCCGAAGCTTAGAGTAGAGTAATGTCTTTTAAGAACTTAAAAATTATCCTGGGTTGTCAGGTGTCTAGCAATACAATATTAATTGTTGTCTTTCACGAAGTTCTTTAAATAAATTTTGAGCTAAGTACTCACCCGTATTTCGGGGGTTACTACTAGTTTTAATAAATTGTTAGTTTAATTTCCTATAAAATTTACCTTCTGGTTTATGCATTTTAAGAATACATCGAAAATTTGTTTCAGAGGGTCAATGTGAAATAATTGCAGAAACGATTAACCGGTTTGCTAAGCAACCGAGACGTCTGCTTTTTAAATAATTTTTGTAAAACAAATCGGCAAGTACATATCGTCCCCCGCATTCCAGAAACATGAATGTCTAAAGATGAAAATTTTGGGAGATTATTTTTTTTAAACCGCTGCATTTGCCCCGCTAGTGAAACGGACCCCAGAATTCCCCTGTTAACGTAGGTATGTACATTGGGGTGGCCCTAGGATTGTTCTATATCGAAAAAAGTATACCCCTATTTTTTATTTTGAAATCAAAAAATATTTAGAGGTCGCTCGAAGCGCTCACAGTTTTCCAGTTTTTGTGTACCTATAAATTATAGTTGCGCTGTAAAAATGTTTAAATAAACAATTGAGTATTATTTATTACTTGGAATCTCCTGCAGATAAACAGAGCTTTCTGGTAGAAAAATATTGATTTTTAACTATTCTGTACCATTTCGACGAAAAGTTGTTTTTTTCCCATATAAAATACATGGAAAAATTTGAGCGCTTTGAGCGACCTCTAATTTTTTTTTTAAATTTCAAAATAAAAAATAAGGGTATACTTTTTTCGATACCCTAATGTACATAGTAAGTGCATGTCTCTAAGTTTTTAGCTACACTTATAAATAAGCGATATTTTTCATTTTGGCTATATAAATACCTTAATCGGTACTTACCATCTTCCATTAATATAACCGGAGCATTGTCGGGATTTCCGCTGGACACTGAATGCGGCATCATACTAAACTCATCCTCCATAAGGAACGGCGGATTCCATCGAGCCCGCGGAGTAGACCGATGTGGCACATTCGATACACCGGTTAACGGAGAGGAATATAAGCTTAAATTAGTTGGACTAATAACCCCGGAAATGGTCGAAATTGAACTAGTATAACCAAGCAGCTATAAAACACAAGAAGCAATTTTATGTTTATTAATGGTAGTCATGGTTGCATGACTTCTCATTAGTTAAATCACAAATCTAGAAATCAAAATGATTTATGAATTTAAAATTGTATCATATCTAAAATAATATAAATTTATTATAGTATACTCGACGAATCAAATCAGGAATAGATTTTAGTTGTGATTTAAATCGTTGGACAAACAAGAAAAAAACTTATTTGTGATTTGATTGGTTGGACAATTAAAATGTAAGATTTATTTGTGATTTGATTTGTCGACCAAATGTAAACTGCATTTTATTTGTGATTTGATGTGTCATCCACATAAAAACAAAATTCTACTTACTTGATTCGTCGAGCAAAACTTGAAGATCGTGCTTGTGTTACATGAATGGAAAAATAACGAATCAAACTGATCTGTAGCTCATTTCTGTAACAATTCTCTACCAAGGCGAATTGAGATATGAATTCGCCGCCTTGTTCTCTACTGCTAATGAGTAGTAGAGAATGACGTTTATTCTCTACCAGTAGAGAAATAATCGGTAGAGAAGAGTTACAGAAACGCAGTGTTGCCAACTTTTAGTTTTCAAAAATCACCTAAAACTTGTGAAAAAAGCGTTTTACCACACTAAAAGCACCAAATATTTTTGAATCAAAGGATGCTTTTTTCATAACGGTTTGTATTTAACAAAAGCAAAAAATTAACAATATTTACATACATAAATCAATACACAAAACTTTTTCGCTCATAACGATTGAATAGCCTCTACACATGCTATGATGACTCTTATGACGTCGTACCGAAGTAGTGCCCATTAAAGCTGGTATATCTCGAGAAAAAAATCGAATCGCAACAAACGAAAATGATGCCCTAAGTAGAAATGCGCAAAAAAATTTGATGTTTTCATTATTTAACCTCAAATATCGCCAAAACCGTGTTTTTGGCACTTTGAGGTTAGGATATCTAAAAATTGTAGTGCTAGAGCAATTGTGCGTCCAGATTTGGCTTCAACACCCAGAAACGATGTGTTTTACTCAGGAGGTAAAAAAAATCAAAATTTGTACAAATAAATAGAAATGAAAAAAAGAAATACTTAACTTACTTGCGTACTAGCATTTTCAACGCGAATGGAATTCAACAAGGTGGGTTTGCAGCTTTAGCTGGTTGTATTTTAGTGCATTTAAATTTGTAGATTCTGGTAACTTCAGTGCTGCCACAGCTTTAAATATTTCAGGTTTTTACTATCTCGGAGTAATTTTAGTTCAGAAAAAAAGCACTAAGAAAGGCACTAAGCACTAAATAATTTTTTTTTGCGTTATAATTTTCAAAAAGCACTAAATCTAGTGCTTAAAGCACCAAGTTGGCAACTATGCAGAAACGAGCTACTGGTCGACAAATAAGCTTTATTTTTTATTTTCCCGACGAATTAAATCACACAAATAAAATCAGTTTTTAATTGGTTGACGAATCAAATCACAGATAAATTATATTTTGTACTTGGCCGGCGAATCAAATCACTCATAAATTTTTGTTTTTTATTTATTCTACGAATCAAATCACAAATAAAATCTATTTTATCGATTAATCAAATCACAAATGAAATAGATTTCTTAAATAATAACAGATTTAAAATAAAAAAGGATTTTAAATCACGCAACCCTGGTGTAGTTAATATAGCTCATATTATTGAAACAGGTATTTAAAACTGGTTATACATGTGTGTATATACTCGTATGTATGTATGTCTGTATAAAAATAAATCTATACACATATTTATTGTTTATTAGAGCCCTTTTCCCTACACCGAGAAAATAAATTAGTTATTATAACCAAGATTTGGTTGGTATAGTTGAATATGCCGAAATAAACATTTGGTTAAAAAAACTTTGATTTTGAACGTTTTGTTTGACACTGTTATCTTGAGTGGTCTTCTGTTAAATCATATTATTTTTTATGAAGAATAAATAATGCTTTGAATGAAACAACTCCCAATGGGACTTGCATCAGGATAATTTCTTTAAATCACGGACGTTGGAAAAAATATATCAGTGTAAAGTATGTACTTATAATCATTATGTTGGCATGTAAGTATTTTAATAAATTCCTATATTTGCCCTAGTTATGGACCTTGTTTAAACTGACACATTAACATTAACATTAACATTGACTCAATTAACAGGGAATCGTTATAAACACTTGTGTTCAGAAACTGCAATTATGTACGACTTCGTTTTTTGTAAAATGTCAAATCAAATTTTAAGTTTCTAAAATTACGAAAAATATATGCAAAAAAATATAAAGGACATCTGTCGCCTGTTCTCGAATTATTTTTAAATATTTCAGCAAAATAACACACCTGTTCATACCACAGAAGGTGCTATGGCACTTATAACACTTATATGTATGCAGATCCCTATACCTACATATAAACTAGACAATGAACTAAAAATACTTTAAAAACTGTTAAAATCTGCAATTTCAAATATTTGAATTGACAATAAAAAATCGCATTATAAAATATAAATATGTCATAACGTTATCGCCTGAAAACTAAAAATCGGGCTGCTGAAAATATACATTTCTGACATTTTCTCAAAAACTGGTTAGTCGATTTTATTCTAGGTTTCCACAAATCTAGCACAAAACCTTAGCTTTCATCTGGTATATACCCTATATCTGGGAAAACTGTTGTTGTGGAGATATTGCGATTCAAATTAAAAAAATGTCGCTCCAAAAAGGGTCAAATTGTTAAAAATTAACATATCCGTATAATTTGGTTACTTTAAGACATATAAAAAACATACAAAGTTCCCCGAAAAAATTGCCCATTCCCCGATTGCCACTTAAACCGAAATTCCCTGCAAATCGGGGGAATTTCCCGTGAGTTGAAGTTGTCTTGGAAACCACAATTTGTGTGTATTTTAAAGTTTTTTTCCAATCACATGCCCAAATTGTAATATTTTTCACCATTTTAATTGTAGCTATGTACACCGAACACGTGATAGAAGTAGGGTGGCCAGATATTATAGTGACATAATCAGTACAGTTGGGGTCAAAAATCAGTACAAAGCCATAAAAATCAGCTCATTTTTAAGCGTATTTTTTATTATTAACAATATAACAACCAAATAACAGCCCATTAATTAACAAAAAAATAGCGAATAGACTTTTAAATACATATGCAATCTATATATATAAAAATGAAATGTTTTCCGTATGACGGCGATGCCTGACCAAACGGCTGAACCGATTGCAATTCTGTAAAAAGTACTTTTTTGGACCTTCTGTGTGGAAGGTTTTTCGATCTAAAAAAATTTCAAACTTTTTGTTGTTGTTGCCGAAAAATGAAGAATGCTGAGACGTCACGATTTCGCAATTTCATAGAGTTTTCTGTATATTTGATGGCACTAAACTACTAAACTGCTTATAGTAGGGTATATATACATGAGTTTTTAAAAAGGGGCGTGGCACATCCCATAGGCGTGGAATTTTTTATGAGTTATAACTTCGGAACCATAGGTCCCAAGAACTTGAAATTTGGTATTCAGACATATCTATGGTAGGTGATATAATAAGGTATATATAAATGATTTTGTTAAAGGGGGTGTGGCACATCCCATGGGCGTGGAATTTTTTATGAGCTATAACTTCGAAACTTAAATCACATGAACTTGAAATTTGATATACAGACATATCTACGGTAGGTGCTTATAGTAAGGTATATACGAAGGAGTTTTTAAATTGAGGCTTGGCACATTCCGTAGGTGTGGAATTTTTTATCAGCCATAACTTCGAAACCATAAGTCACATGAACTTTAAATTTGGTGGGCAGGCATAGCTATGGTATGTGCTTATAGTAGGCTATAAATAAATGAGTTTGTAAAAGGGGGCGTGGCACATTTCATAGCCGTGGAATTTTTTATGAGCTGTAACTTAGAAACTATAAGTTACATGAACTTCAAATTTCGTATGCGGACATATCTATGTATATGAATGGGGCGTCATATACCATAGGCGGGGACCTTTTATCAACTCCAACTTCGGAACCATAAGTCCCAAGAACTTTAAATTTGGTATTCACACATATCTATGGTAGGTGCGTATAATAAGGTATATATAAATGATTTTGTTAAAGGGGGTGTAACACATCCCATGGGCGTGGAATTTTTTATGAGCTATAACTTCGAAACTTAAATCACATGATCTTGAAATTTGATATACAGACATATCTACGGTAGGTTCTTATAGTAAGGTATATAGGAAGTAGTTTGTAAATGGAGTCTTGGCACATTCCGTGGGTGTGGAATTTTTTATCAGCCATAACTTCGAAACCATAAGTCACACGAACTTTAACTTTGGTATTCAGGCATAGCTATGGCAGGTGCTTATAGTAGACTATAAATACACAAGTTAGTAAAAGGGGATATGGCACAGCCCATAGGCGTGGAAATGTTTATCAGCTATAACTTCAGAACAATAAGCCCCACGAACTTGAAATTTTCATATGCAGGTATAGCTATGGCAAGTGCTTACAAAAAGATATAAATGAATTTGTAATCCGCGTGGAAATTTTTTTAGCTATAACTTAAAGACCATAAGTCTCATGAAATTGAAATTTGGTATGCAGACACATATATGGGAGCTGTTTAGAGTAAAGTATATATAAATGAGTTTGTAAAAGGGGAATAAATACATATGTATTCATCTATTAGATCACTCAGATATTTAAAACTGTGTTTTTTTTTTTGAAACCTTAAATTTTTTAGATCATTTCGAAATGGAAAGATTCAATCGTTTCTTTGGTCCCGCGTTGCTGTTAAACGGAAAATGTTCATTCATAATGAATAAAACTTCTTCTGAAATAAGCATTCTACCGAAAAATTACAGCTATACTAAAGCAGCGAAGCGAATAGGCAGCTAAACGGAATGCACCGTAGTAAACTAATTTAAAAATTATATCGTTACCTTAATTCACCTAACATTAATAATGGAACAAGNCGTAGTAAACTAATTTAAAAATTCTATCGTTACCTTAATTCACCTAACATTAATAATGGAACAAGATTTGTAGTATAGAGAGTGATGATCAATATATGTTAGTTGAAGTACGATAAAGCTAAAAATATGGCTCATAAGGATGACTTAATTTAAACAGAAAGAAAATAGTTTTTCTCGTCTATTTGAATTACTGTTTTATATTTTGATTTGTTTACCCCGGACGACGTCGGGTGCTCTGCTTGTTATCAATATAAAAATTCATTACTTTAAAACAAATCAAATTACGTATGTATGTACAGCTGTGCGCACGAAAATAGTAGTAAAATGTATTGACAGGTTTTGAAATTTTTTTCTTTCCTTACTTAATTTAATTTTTTTATAAAAATATAGTTAATTCTATAACAAAAGACATGTGAGTTGAAGTCTAGAAAATTTATAAGAATTGAGAAAAAAAAAAAAAAATTGTAGCCCATTCAGTTTCAGTAGAAGACGAGCTCGAGTCAGAATCTGTTTGCATATTTTAAGCTACAAATTTAAAACATATTTAGTTGGTGTGCTTATTAAATACAACATTCACATTCAAAACTACATATATCATATCCAAGAGTCGGTAGTTTGCACGTTTTCCAAATTCTTAGAACTTACATTGCACCGTAGCAATAGTCGTCTTAAGTTTGACATACTGACAGCCGATTTCTCAGTGGATGTTTAATTATAATCAAAACATTATCTCTTATTGTCATCTTCTCAGTGTACTTAATATATGATTAACTCACCACCACCTTTCATAAGATTTATTATAAAACCTGCAAATCGTGAAGTTGGGGTGGGTTGAATCCAAACAGTTTGTTATTTTGCGAAATCCTAGGAAACAAGACAATTGCAAGCTGACACCTTTTTAATAATGGTTTCAATCTGCTCACACGTATGAGTTGTCAAAAACCATTGTTTTGAACATGTAAACCTCAAGTAAATGTCAATTACACCAATTTACAAAAGTATTTATTAAATGTAAAAATCAGTACAAAATCAGTTCAAACTCAAAAAATCAGTAGATTTTGCATACTGATTTCGGGCTCTTAAAAATCAGTACAATAGAAAAAACTCAACTCATGTACTGATTAAATGAGCGCATCTGGCCACCCTAGATAGAAGTTTAACTTCTTAAAAAAGCGCAGGTGTGCACCCCACACCCGGTAGAAATCTTAACAAAAATAAGCTACAAGACAAGCAGACGAATACAGTTGTTAATTGTATCCAATGTTGGTACCAAGTTGATAATTTTTTATTATTTCTCACATTTTTTTTATTTTTTCGAGTACAAAGGATATGATCACTCTTTTTAGCTTTATCCGTATTCGAAAAACTATGTGTTTCAATGGACACATCGATTTGAATACATAATTTAGATTTAGATAATATTTTTAGCAATTTATTTGAGAAAAATAAAACATTTAGATTATTGTTTGTATTTTCGTCGATTTTAAATTTGCTAAAATTTTCGGAACGTTGCGAAATCCCGTCTACTGCTAGAAATACAAAATAAAAAACAGAACTCTTGCAACGATTCGTATGAATAAAAAAGATTTTCCGTACGTTTCAAAGGCAGTTAAAAAATGCGTATAATTTTCGTCACGAAATTAATATCGAAAATTTTGTGTTTCTAGTTCAGCTTTCGTCACTCGAAAATTTTACCTCAAAGAGGTGTTTTATTTGATACCAAATACAACTAAAACTTTCTGGAGCTAAATGAGTGCTAGATAATTTTGAAAAGAGCTAAAAAAAAAGTTAGGAGCTAAAGCCCAATTTTCTGAGCTAAATAGAAAAATAAAGAGTTAATCTAACTCCAAAATCACCAAAATGGCTACACTGTTGACAGTATTTACTTCCGGTGATAAAAGCTGTATGTGTTTTCTGGATAAAGTTTTTTCCTTAACTTGGCATTAAGCTGATGAAGCTTAAGGCCTCAGTAGCTTTGATTTTGAAGTAAAATAACAATTTATTGTTATTTTCTTGTTATACTAAATTAAGGGTATACTTTTGTAGGTTTAATCTAATTCTTTCCTAGCGACAAAGCCGATGTCTTTCTCGTAACCTGTTAAAAGCGCCAAGTCGATTTTTTTATATGGTTAACATTGTAATGTATATTATTTGAAAATGCTCTCAACCAAGAATCAATGTATACTGCTTTTAAGCAAGAGCACGATGATTCGATTCGTGTACATACGTACATGCATACATACAAGTACATACTCGTACTTTTTTGATAATATACTTACTGGAGTAGTCTGTGCATGAAAATGATTGAAATACTCTCGGCTGGTGGCTGCAGAGTATGACTGTGTCGCAATACGACCAATTGACGATGATTTTGTACTACGTACAATGTCTATGTGCGCCTGCGGACTCAAAGGAGGGGGCGGTGAGCTCGACACAACAATGTCAGTTGAACTACTACTGCTGTTATTACTGGTACCCGATATATTTGTTTGGACATTAGAACTTGTAACGCCGGTGGCGACATCGGTTGTACTCGAAACGGAAGAGGCATTTCCGTTACCTCCATTGATGTTAGTAGAGGTGTTTGCAGTCGCCATTTGATTATTTGCTTCGTCGTGTTCCACGGTGTTGTGAAGAGAATGTGTGTGATTGTGAGATTGTGTGTGGTTGTGAGATTGTGTCTGATGCTGATCCTGTTGCTGTGCATGTTGTTGCCGCGATGATTCCTTAGCCGAGTGGCTTGCGTTTGGTGGTGTGGCAGATGAAGGTGGAGATTCGACCATCGTCAAGTCACCTGTAGACCTTATTATTGCCACTGGTCGAGCCATTGGCGGTAAAGGCGGCGGAGGTAGCATTGTGCTATATTGTTGATAATGAGATGCCGTCGCAACTGGTGAAGTTGCAGCAGATGAAAATTTCGGATTACGATTCGTTATAGAACCGACCGCTCCAGTAGTAACGGTTTGCAATTGGAAATGAGTTTGATGATGTGGCGGGCGATGAGCTTCGTTAATGTGTGCGCTAGAACCTCCAGTTTCCTGACAAACATATGTCACAAAATCGGACATGTCATGACCATTGGCAACTTCTGAAGAATATTTTGAAATCGAGGCAGCAGCTACTGCAGCAGTTGCCGCTAGTTGTGAGCCATGACCGTCCAAGTGTTGTTGATTCTCGTTTTGTTGAGATTGTTGTGGCTGATGATGGTGGTTCTGTTGAGTGCTGCTATCATTAGAATCCGATGGACCAGTCGGACTGTTATGTAACTGGTAATATAAAGCTCCGGGGCTTACCGAATTCGTAACCAACGCAGACGTCGCGTTGTGTTGTATCAGTACTATAGTTTACAATTTTAAAAATAAAAATACAAAAACAAACTGTAAACAAGTTGACTGGAACTTATTTATTTTAGAAAATATATAGTGAACTAAATTCGCTAAAACATCCACAGACTTTGATAAAGATTTGCTTCGACCTTTTTCACAACATCCTACGTTTTAATATATATGCCTTGATCAGATGATTGTAGTTGTAAATTCAGAGCTTCACAGAAACGTTTTCTAAACATGAATTATTGAAGCGATTTTTTAATGCAGGTTTTTAAAGAAAAACCTGAAATTCAGATTTATTTTTGTATGTGTCATAGAATGGATGTAAATATTGGCTTTTTTGGGGTCAATTTTCGTTTTTGGAATTTAATTGGTTTAGGGTAAAAGAAATACCTTTCGGTACAAGTTAAATATAAATCTGCCAAAAAACGAACGTTTTAATGCAAAAATTTGATTGAAAATATGGCTCATTTTTGTTCATTCGGCATATGAGAAATATTGTTTGATAACTTCTAAGTATGCTTATTTGATTATTATATTCCATTCGATATAATGCGCGAACGTGGACCACCCACTTATGCACTTTTAAAGCTGTATACTATGTACGTATGTATGTTAAAAGTGGATCTTGTCAACCGAACGCGCAAAATAAAGAAAACAAGAAAGAGCAATAACGTCCATGCATTTTACTGCGCTTCAGAAAAGGTAATAGTGTCCATGGGCGTTATTTCCACTGACTTTATTACAAGTCACCGTAAAGCTTGCAGGATTTTTTCAATTACGTATTAATATCAGGATCTTAAAAAAAAATTGTATACCTTCTGCGTAGTGAACTAATGTCAGTGACATTATTACTTAAGGGCTGACTATAATGTGAATAAGCTGCCGTAGCTGACTGTCAGAAAATTAACGAAAAGTCTGTCAAATGCATAAGCAACGTAGTGTAGACTTTTAGGTGGCTATATTTTACTTACATGTGTTCAGTGTTGCAAATTTTTTTTATTTTTTACCCAAAATCACCAGAAAAAGTTACCAAATTCAACAAAAAATTACCAAACTTATTTTAAACTAAACTAAAATTTCGGAGCACTTTAAAATCCGCATTTCTCCTGTTATGACCAAAGAACGTAGATAACAAGAAGGGACAACTCGTTATAGTTGTAGCGAAAGTGAGTAACAGGGGCGTGCTTCTGGAAAAGGACTTGGTAGATATAACAATACCCACTATCAAGCAAACTGTTGTACATCACACAATTATAGTAACCTAGGAACGCCGAAGAACTGTTCGCCTTGCGAAACTTTCAGATTTACCTGGTATTTCTGTTAAAGGAAACACTTACGGCCCACTTCCTAATGTGGAACCAGAACTTGTTTTAACCTATGTTACATGTAGGACTGAATCGAAAAAGTTACCAAGTTGAAAAATAAGTTACCAAATTACCAAATATGATAAACAAAATATTACCAAAGCGACAACACTGCGTGTGTTACATATGTACATACATACATACGAGTACAAACAGCTGATTCCGTACGGAAGGTGCGACCAGTATCGCTCTTTCCTTAAGCAAATGTTAACGAAACTTGATGTTAAGTACATTATAGTTTCAGAATAGGATTTATGTGTATTCGCACGTTTGCATACGCTTGCTTATTCATGTTATAGTCAACCCTTTAAGTAACCGAACCTAAGACCGAATTTCTTGAAACGAATATCCCAAGAACTGGCCAGACACGCCCTCACATTGATCTTGTTCGTAAACAGTCGCATTGCTTTTGGTGTGGGTATGTGTGTAGAATTTCGGACGCAGTCGCATTGAAAAAATGCCAATTATTTATTGCATGAAAAGTATAAGCAAATAATCAAACTTGTGCTTTGTGATAAAATTTGCTTGAAAGAACGCAAAAGTGTATGAAACCTCTTTTGCTGTATACGCAAATCGATAAAGCAACGGGTAAACTTTTGACATACCGTGTTGTTGCCTGGCACATGAGAGTTAATAAATTCATTTTCATAAACATAAAAGCTAGAACCTTGTAGTAATTGAAAAAAACTCCAAATATGGCAACTACAGCAACAAGAAATCAAACCAATTAATGCTCGTCAGATACATATCAACGTTTAAATTACATATCCGCGTATCGTCGTTCTGCAAAACCGCTTAACTGATATTTTTTGCCAAAAATTGTGTTTGCTTACAGAAGCTCTTGGATCAAGCCCTATCCATTCGTCCTGAAATATACTAGCCAGAAATGCGATTGCGAGAGAGACCCATTTTGAAATATTACTGTTTTTACTCTCTACAAAATAATTTATGCAATCTCCCATACGCGGTTTCGCATTATGTTGATACGCTGTTTTGTACTTTAAACGACGATATGCATCGGACGAGCATTCATTGGTTTGATTTTTAGTTGCTATAGTTGCCATCAGTGAACTTTAAAAATATTCTGTGCGGTATAATCTGGAAAAAATGTGGTAGATTTCAAAAAAATTTGGTAAATCTCTGGGTTTGGATCAAACTTTGTACAAAAATTAAAAAAATTCTGCAAGGTTTCACCTAAATGGCAAACTTTTTAATTAGACTCTAAAAAAATTTAATTTTGGTGTAATAAAGTGCAAGATTGAAGTTACCAAAAATTGCGTTGGGTTTTGGCAATTTTTTCCTTGACAGTGTAAAGCAGTTCCTTCAATATTAAGATATTTTTCGAACATATTTTAAGAAGTTTCTGCAACCTTGCGGAGTGCTGCCAACTTTTCTTTTTATCACATCACGAAGTAGCGAACAAATGTGACACGTTCCAGAAACAGCTAATTGGGATTTACCGATTTTGACAATTCTCAAGTAAAAGTAAACAACGCCCAGCGTTCGGACTACTGAAACTCGATTCAGGAATAAATGACTCGAACAATCGGAGCAAAAAGGAAATTTTCGGAGCAGATTAACATTTTTTATTAAATAGTATAGTATTGAAACGGGGTGCTTGTAAATCAGCTTGATCTCTAAATAGTATTCAAACCAAACTTTCCATGAATAATATAATTTTTTTTTAAATAAGTAAATAATAAATTTCTGAACTTTAATTTAACTTTCAACGGTTTCGTCATTAAGCCTGTTCCTGTATTTATTTTTAATGAGATTCATCTCTGAAAATTTTTGCACTACTGTGCAGTAAAACATCTAATGTTAAGAAGTAAAAGAGACAATTTCTGTTTCACCTTGATAAACAAAACCTTGGTGGTTGCCCTTGAAGTTATTGAGCAAAAATCTAAAAATTTGGCATATTATTTTTAATAAATTCTTAATGTGAATGGAAAATAGTAAAAAAATCGGAGCATATTTAAGTCAAGCGGAGTAGGGAGTAGATTTTAAATTTAAAAAAGAAATCGGGGTAAATCTACTCCGATCGGAGCGAAGTCCGGACGCTGCCAACGCCTCGGAAATATTAGATTTGCTAATACTTTCACAAAATTGCCGTTTTTTAACATAACATATATTTTGCAATTTAACGCAATAAAACCGCGTTTCCCGTCGAAAAATTTATTACTGAGAAAATTTACTATTTTACAGTTTATTTTATCCTCCCATTCGGCTTTGTTTACTTTTACTTGAGAAATTTCATCGTCGCTGGGATTGCGGAATCTTGTATTATATCATTCTTTGTTACCATATAAGTGTTTACTGTTGGACAATTTTTGCTCTTTAAATTAAGACAATTATGCCAAGCAAAAATAAAACTACTCAAAAACGCGAATATGTGGTAGATATTAGACCTTGAGTTGTAGCTGTGGTAGATGCTCAAAAAAGTGGCAGATCTACTACAATGTGGTAGAAGTCCGATCACTTGTTGCCATATTTGGCTTTTATATTTATGAAAATGAATTTATTAACTCTATTAATATGCCAGGCAACAACACGGTATGTTTTGCGACCAGCCGCAATCCCGTGAGAGGGGGTCAATTCACCCCGGCCCGGCTGCATGTCAGGGGCCCGGCGCACATAGGGGTATTTTGCCGGTCTAGCCAGCCTAATTTATTGGTATCAAACGGATCGGAGAGGCCCTTCCCAATTCTGACAAAGCTGATGGTATTGCTCAATGTCATTTTACACAGCCGTATTAGTTTCGCTTTAAATCCACAAACAGATGGTGAGTTTCGACCCTTTTCTCGAAGGTCTTTTCTAAGATTTGGCGTATTGAGAATATCTGGTCTATGGTGGATTTTTCAGGTCTAAAGCCACACTGATAAGGTCCAATTAGTTCGTTGACAACAGGCTTCAGTCGTTTACACAATACGCTCGACAAGACCTTGTAACCTATGCTTTTAGAAGGCCGGGGTCGCCTTTCTTGTGGATTGGGCAGAGCACATTTAAATTTCAGTCGTCGGGCATGCCTTCATCTGACCATATTCTGCATAAGAGTTGATGCATCCACCAAATCAGCACCTCGCCGCCGTACTTGAATAGTTCAGCTAGCAGGCCGTCAGCTCTAGCAGCTTTGTTTTGTATTTCAGTCGCGTAATTGCTATTCGTACCCCGTCATAGTAAGGCGGTGGAACATCGACTCCGTCATCATCGATTGAGGGCACGGGTTTGTCTTAGGGATGTAAAAAAAACATCGATGTATCGAGCAACATCGATGGTCGTTGCTTCAAACATCGATGTTTGTCGCTATTTTCATGAACCCGATGTTTAGTCAAAACATCGATGTTTGACTAAACATCGGGTTCATAAAAATATCGACAAAACATCGATAACATCAAAGATGTTTTTTTACTAATATTCACCATTCCATTTTGTGAACGCTTTAAAATTTTGAGCGAGCGTTTGATAAATAAGTATATACTTTCATGGAACCATGCCCAAGTAAGTTCCTTTAACAAATTCTTAAATTCCAATTAATAAATGTACATATAAAAGTAAGAAATAGTTTAATTGCTTTAAAACTAGTGAAATCGTAAAATTGGTTAATACATTACTTAATACTACACCTCGTTTAAATATATAAAACCCGCCAATTATTGACTAGTTTTAACAATTATTTTTTTTGTATTTGATTTTTGTTATTTTTGTAAAAATTTAGTTCATTTGTTAACAAAAACTATAAATCCAATTCAAAATTGTGAGCAATATTTAAAAAAAAATCAGCGGGCTCTTCTAAAAACATCGATGTTTTAATTCGATACATCGATCTACCATCTCGATTCCTCAAACATCGATAGTCTCATTGTGATTTACAACCCTACTTCGCCTTCTCCACAACATTCCGTGCAGCTACCATTCAGTAGGGTTGAAAAGTGATCCCTCCATAATTTAAGCACGTTCTGGTCATCGGTCACTAACTCGCCATTGTTGTTCTTACAGGAGTTCCCTGGTCTTGAAACCTCCCGTAAGTTGCCTAACTCTCTGGTAAAATTTTCGGGTGTTTTTCCTGTTGGCCACCATTTCAATCTTTTCGCGCTCGGCCTGTTTCTTTTTATTGTGGCAAATGCGTCTCGCTTCCCTCTTCAGTTCCCTATAGCGGTCCCATATAGCTTGCGTTGCGCCCGATCGTGGCGTGGCCATGTAGGCGGCATCTTATTTCTCTGCAGCTTCTATACACTCCTCGTCTTACGAGTTGCTCTTTAGGCATCGCTGAAATCCGACTTCTTCTTCGGGGGCGATACTTAATGAGCGGGAAATGTGGTTCCGCTGCCCGCATATGTCGGTTTAAGTGCTGCCGCGGGGACTTCAATTGAAGTTTTTTACTTCACTTTAGAAGCATTCACTTCGCCACTTCATTTTACTTCACTTTCCACAAATTATATTTATCTCCAAAATAAATAAAAATGAAATAAATTATTTATCTAACGAAAATCATCAATCTTTTGCTAAAATTCTTGTTAAGTAGTAAGCGTGGCAAAGTAACTTTTCGCAATAAGCTACTAAGAAGACTCCTACAAAATCTCTGATCTGGAAGAAGTCATTTTGATTTTAATTTTCACATGTATAGTTAAGCGCACAGAAATGAATTGGTGGATAAAATTTCATAAGTATTTAGTAAATATTTGATGAAAATAACATTTATATTTTAGTTGTCATATATCTTCAATTTTACAGCAAAAATGAAATATTTAAATGAATCTCGGGATGACGTTGCTGTTATGTATCTGGTGGTGGTTTTGTTGCTGTGAATCGATAACCAATTAATTATATTTTAGTGTTAATATCCCAGTTAACTGTAATTTATGATTTTCATTCCTAAACGTTTGAGACATTGTGATTTTAAAGATATTCCAGCACTGAATTTGCACAGGAACACAATATATTATAAATTAATAAAGGTTGAAGATTACTTTTATTGTGATAAAAAAATAATCGATTAACCAATCAGATGATAAATAATCGTATTGAAAAACCCCACACGCCTAATTGTGCTTGAAAATCGTCACTTCGATAATCACTTCACTTTTCCTTCCAAGTCACTCCGAAACACTTCACTTTTAGTGTGTTTTCACGTCGCAAATGGCAGCACTGGTCGGTTTGTTGAAGAGTGCTCTCTGAAAGCAGGTGTTAGAGCCAAGTAGCGAATGCATTGGCTGTCTGCTGTGATTGCAGCTTTTCGACTTTACGCTTTCCTTACAGTTTTCGGTGCACCTTTTTTGCTGCACAGAGGTGGATGCGTATCGTGGCTGTACAAGATAGTGGTCCGAGTCGATGTTTGGGTCTCGGAGTGTACGTACGTCTAAAATACTGGAAGCGTGCCTTCTGTCTATCACAACATGATCGATTTGGTTTTTCGTTTTTCGATCTGGAGACAGACACCCAGCTTGATGGATATTTTTATACTTGAACCTAGTACAGAATACTAGCATGTTTTGGGCCCCGGCGAAGTTGATCAGCCGCAGTCCGTTGTCGTAGAGGCTGAATTTTCCGACGGTGGTTCCAAAGATCCCTGGCTTGCCCATTGATATCGTGGCAGGGGCAGCGCTCATAGAAGAGATCCTTGGACGCCTCTTCCTTACTTTCCGTCCGGACATGGGCGGCGATGAGCGATAAGTTGAAGAATATCAGCTTGACATTGATTGTGGCTAGCCGCTCGTCCGCCGGGGTGAACGACAGTAATCGGCGACCACGATGCGGAAAAAAAGGTGGCGCCATTCGCGGACCGCTACCCCTCTCTTCTTCGGTTTGCTAGCATCCATCCATTCGCTTACGTCACACAATATTTTTGTAAACATTCACTGTTTCTAGCCTGCTGCTTTTCACACTAAATTTAGCGCGCATTCAAAACACGAAAATTTTTGAGTTTGGTGCTTGATGCGTTTTTATTTTTAAGACACCAAATTTGTAAATCTTAAAAAAAATTTAGCAAAATATATAGCCATCGTAAGTGAATATGTGGCAGCACCTTCAATCATGCCAGAAGGAATCGACCGACGAGCAAGAAACACTGATTCTTATTAATTTGAATCGGCATCCTTACAATAAAATTTTTTAAATACGCCAATAAAAATTGTGTGCTTTCTTCGAGAAATAACGCCATTTTTCTCGAGTTTCAGGGCTTTTTCAAATTCAAAACATGGCAACACTGTCTTTTGTTCGATTCGTCCTCTTCTTCTTGTTGAGTTCCTCTTTGCTCTCTCCTGCTGGTATTTGATGACGTCACGCCCGGTTGCTCTCAGCTCGATTGGCGCCATGGAGTCTCTCTCCCACCACAAATCTAACACTGAATTTGCGCTCCTTTACATGGCAACTTTAGTAGACGTCGTAAGGCCCTAGGCACTTCTTGCCTTGCCCCGTCCAACACATTTCTTGGATGGCGGTGGTATTAGCTTTTATCTTTACAAGGACATCAACCAGGCGGGCAGAGGCACCTTCCCCATTAAGGGTCCGCACATTCCAGGTGCATTTCCTCAAATGGTAGTCCTTTAAACGTTTGCCATAGTCGTCATCAAAACAGGGTCTCCTCCGAGGCTTTGTGTAAATTTTTATTGGAAGTGGTTTTTACGTGGCGGGTCCCAAACCCAAAGCCATTGCTGGGACGGGTGGTTTATTATTATTTATTTAATTTGTATTATTTCTCACAACTCCTTGATTGGCTAATGAAATATGCCGGTAAATATTTTCTTAAAATTTTTGATTAAAAAATGGAATAAAACAAGCAACATTTAAAAATAAGAGTTATAAATTTTTAAAATAATTCTGAATAATTTCAGATATGTTTTTTGCCTTTAATTCAAAATGAGAACTGTAAACTTTAAGGTGGCATAAAATGAAAAAGATTACACTGGTCTACAAGGGTTTTGCGAATAAGACGGGACCTGGTGTTTCCGAACGGATTTTTCGTGCTGAACACGAATCTGGGGTCCAAAACTTCCCATCACGTCACGTTTTCGAGAAAAAAGGGGTTGAAACCCCTAAAAACA